AGACCGCACGAGTGAATGTAGGACTTAAGTTATGCAAGTTAGGTTGGACAAATATATAGCGTCCAAGGCAATATCCCCCAACCTAATTTTTTTAAAAAAGGTAGTATTAAGAGTATCTAGTACCAAGACATAAAAGATTAAAAACAGTAAATAATTAAAAGGTCACAAATGTGAGCGCTAATACTTTGCGTAAAAATCGCCATATGTAAATAAAAACGAGCGGCACGCTTTAAACAACATATTTCACACAGAGGAGAAAGTGAATAATGAATAGTTGCCTTCCTCAGTAAACATAATAAATGGTCTGAATGACCTATATGGACTAGATGCGTGAATCTTAATGCGATTTTAAAGTAGAGATATTGACAAACTAACTACATGAATTGGGATCAAGATAGTATAGAAGTGCATCTGAGGGTAGCATAAACAGCTTTATAGAATATAAGGGCGGATCTATAAAATCCAATTATTTGTTAGAGTAGAGAATAAGGCTAACCATTCGAGTCCATACTGTGCTCGGCCATACAGGGGTGATGAGCTTCGAGTTTACTAGAAACCGCGTTAGATTCATTAAATTTCACGTCGTTATTAAGTTTTCTCCTTTTTGCAGAGTACGCAAACAAATTCGAAGCTTTGGCGGTCACGATTGGAAGATTGGCAGAAGGGAATATTTGAAGCGAAGTGCCAAGGCAAATGTGTAACTGTGCACGTCTGATAGAAAATAAAGACAACGTGGATTTTTTAAATAGATAGGTGTAATAAAATTGAAATTGGGGGTCTAAAATCAATTAGTAAGAAAAACTCATGAAATATTAAAAAATAATCGGGCTGGCATTGATAGTGGAACAATACATAAATTAAAGCAAAAAACTGAACATGCGAGGCAAACGACAACAGGCCCCTAGTGAATTGGTCGTTACTGTATTATTGTTAGAAAAACTATAATACAGGCGTAGACTGATGTTGCTTAAATAATATCAACCCCCAGGATGAGCCACCATATCTTAACTGTAATTAAATAAAGCTAAACAAATGGTTGATAGAATAAATAAACCAAGGTAACTACTGATCGAAGGAAGTGAGACGTAGTGCAACAGAAAAAAGTGCTAAAAATTATTATCATGCTCTAGGTTTGTATATCCAAAATTGAATTGATACTCTTTGTATAGAAGAGACCGATTATTTTGAAAATATGACATGTATTTAGCATATATATGATGCAACAGCAAATAGCAATAAAAATGTAACTTTTTAAATAGAATAAGTGGTGAACTACCTGGAATGCTCTAAAGCAAGATAATAATCAGGCTCTGGCAAAGAGTCTTCCCAATCTAATATAGTATCGTGCAGCTTGCCTCTGTACAATGAGTAAATCTAGCATAATTACCGGCAAAATATTCCTTTACGCTTTACACGACAACACATAAAACCGGTAAATCGTTGTCTCATTGTCGGAGATGGTTTTGATTTCCTTATGTAAGAGGATCTACAGGTGGTACAGGAATCAATAAACATGTCGCCATGAAGGATGGAAAGTCTATTTCTGGGAAAGCCTGATCTCAAATTTAGACCATCCACATTCTGTGTTATCACATAGTGAATGTAATCTGTCGCATGAAAAAATAGATGTTACTGCTCTTTTCAAGTGCCACAAGTGCATTGTGTGTTAGGCTAGGCGAGGCCCTCTCGAATGTCATATCGACGTTTGGAATTTCTCCTTTGTTCTCCAGAGTCCACACGCCTAAGGTCCAGAAAGAATTAATAGCACCGTACCTTTTGGACCCCGGAAATCTGGAATTCCCACAGAAGTACTTATTCCAGCTCCAGTATGAACGACAGTATAAGTTGATGACCGAATAAGAGTTGCCAATCGTTCAATATTCAAATCAAAATCTTCTTTTGAATCATATAGCTCTGGCTGTCCACATAATCCCTTATTTGCATAAGGAGAAAGACCAGCAGAATAATCAACAGACATAGGAGAGGAGAGTAGGGGTGAAGCGACAAGCTTTTAACGATCCGACCATAAAAAAAATAAATGGTTTTTGGTAGACGTTATTTATATAAAAACAAATTCATACAGAATAAATTTAAAATATTTTATATCGCCAATAATTGATACAACGAAGAGAAAGGGGTTGGACCTACTCAAAAGATGACTTGCGTTTCAGCTAGATTAAATATTAAATCCGAAGTTATCTATAGAATAACAGATAGGTTAAATCTGCTTCTTAAAATATGTACTCTTTGACTAGTTAATTACTTATTAGGTTAGTAAATACCCTCATGTTCAATAGGCTCGTTTATTATCAATATTTTTTAATGCCTACTCTATTGCTACAGTTAACTAGGTTATTTTACCCTTATACTTAAAATTCAGGAGGGCAATATTTGATGTATAATACTTGGCTGATATGCTGGTAATTCTGAGACCTTTTTAACATAATACTTGTTTGCTCCTTTAAATGGTTTGGCTCATGAGACTTGTTATAACAATGTAAAAACTTCCCATTTCGATGAAAAAGTTGGTTTAAATGAATAAGTAGAATCATTTCACCGTAAACTAAAAGAGGATTGCCGCTGATTGAAAACACCTAGATTGTGCGAAGAAGATTTCGACTAGTCTTCCTACCACCCTGATAAATTTGTGCCTAGCACAGGTAAACAGAGGACTTCTTCGTAATATCCATCATTCTTCACACCACATAAATTCTCCTTAGGTCACTTGTGGGACTATTTCACAAACTCATTTCAACCAACATTTTATTCAGAATGAAAGGTGATGTCAAAATAAATCACTAAGAAATACATTGAAACTCATTTTTTCTTCATACCTGGCTATGTCATCCTTTTCGCCTGCTCTTGTCCCAGAGTGTCTTCATCTGAACAAATTTCACCTGTTTACTTGAAAAAATTTGCTTGTGGCAATCATTTTTTAGTGTAATTTGCTCTCCTTTAGCTAAGAATGCTACTCTTGTTCTATATTAAAGTTCGAGCTAATATAGTATAAAATGAATAGGTTGAGGAAGATCATTAAAGCCCGTCTGTAAATGCTCAATTAATCCTGGTTATCACACGTCTTTCCACCTGAATTTGTTTTGATGCTACTAAATAGCTTGTAATGAAATACTTTGTATTTATTCTTACTAGGCTGACATAAATGTTTCTGCGAAGAAAAGTTGGGTTTAGAGGAATCTCTTGTTTCATAATTGTTGAACTTACTTCCATTTCGAGTAAAAGCGTTTGGTGAAGAGATTCGAAAGTCGATTTCACTGGAAGACGACAGCGGATTCCTCTTGACCAGCTGTCGCTTGACTTTATTGTTAAATTCATGGTGACAATGTTTTTGAGCTAATCTCCTTCGATTCCGATGAAAAAGTGCTAGGCTTTCCTGCGTTACATGAGAAACATCATCAGAGCAAGGTATCATCGTCACAACCAAATTCAAGCTTAAGAAACAGGAATTCTCACCGGCAAATCTCTAAAAAGGTGTATATATCTTTTTACCGGAATCAAAGGAGATGACCTCTGAAACAGCGTCACCATGAATGTTCCAGTAAAGCCGATCGACAGCTGGTCAAGAGGAATCCGCCGTTGACTTCTGGTGGAATCGACTTTCTGATCTCTTCACAAAACACTTTCAGTCGAAATGGAAGTAGACTCAAAAACAAATGTTTCTTTTCTTCGTTTTATAAATAATTTTAAGTTTGCAATAAATTACTTTATCTGGTTGATTTCAGCTGCCTCTTACATTATTCGCTGTTTGTCTTACTAATGCTGTGTTATTTTTTCATGGAATATATGATGGCTATAATCTTTGGACGAACCTCAGACTGACCCGGATTCTTTCAATTATGACTAATTTGAGAAGACTTCGACATTTATTTAACAAATCTCTACTAAAAAAGCTAACTCGAAATCATTTTATTTTTCTCTACAAGATCAGAAGTCCTTTTCGATTTTGCGTATTTGTGAAAGGTAAATGTAATCAGTCATTATGCATTACTAAATGCGTTTAGTCCTAAGAGAAAAATTGATGCCAATACCGAGAAGAAAACAATATATCGAAGCTAAGAATGGTTCTGAAAACGAAATACAAAGAGAAGTGATATTTCTAGCCGATAAAAGATGGCAAATTACTGTTCTATTCACTATGTTTATTATTAAAATGCCTAAAAATTTAAATATTCCCTAGAATAGCTTTTACAAACAATTAAGTACTTTTGAAATTAAATTGAAATTCTGCTCGATATCGAAGTTATTTAAATGCTCGATACTTTTCATACCATTCAAAGAAACTTTAAGATAAACCAAAGCAGACATTTTTAACCGTTTGACGTTAAAGTGTAGCACTATGACAGAGTTTTTATGGTGAAATAGTTTAATATGGAAATTTTAAATAAATGTAGCACAAATTAATTAAGCAGCCACTTTCACCTTTAAAGCAGAAAGCCCCATCAATTTGAACAGGAGTGTTTTGTTATTTTACCTCATGCTGAGAGATATACCTTTTAGATTGTACCCATTTTTGAGATTTCTGCCATAATAATCATTATAATTTACACTTTCGGTTTCTTAAATTAGTACGCTCCATGGCAGCAACAGTGAGTAGAGATAATCTTAGCACCGAAATATGACTCTCTAAAATGACAAATGAAAGCAATCTTCTCGACCTTTTTTCTGCTCAACCATTATGGTAACTCGTTTCCTCTGCCCTAGCTCCTATGCAGTGTCCTCATCGTTCAACCTCATTTCTAGTAATCGACTTCGTTTTATAGTTCTCTCGACATCTTCGTATGTTTCTGCATCTCCCAATATTGTATTACATTAGATGGATGTATTAAGGCATGAGAGACTTCACCACCGGTTTTACATGCCATCGACAGGGCTCCTGGATACCAATCAGCACTTTTGTTCGGCCATCCACTTCATTCTATTTCTATCAGCTATCCCTGAAATTCATTGTACCATCTAATTGGCTGTCTTTACTCTCTTAATTTTTAAAACCTTGTCCGTCATATTTAAGGTTTCACTCACATGACTGATCCTAAAGTTATGATAAGGAATTTGCGGTAGCCCTTTCCTTGCCTTTAGGCTTCAGAAACTCTAATATACATTTATAAACTTCCCCACCTCAACATCATTCTTTTACAGTCTTCGGTAATCCCAAGACTGGCTTTACCTGAAATCTACAACTTATTTATCTCCACTATAGATTATCATGAGTTTTACGGGATAGAAAGCGAGATTAGATATAGTCTTCAAGTCCTCGCGTTTAGTAGTGCTAAGTTGCGAAAACGAAAGCAAATCGACCATAGCAGAATTCGACAAAATCTGGAGTTACATCGTCTTTCTTTTTATAGCATTGCTCAAATGAGGTTTTGTCTATGATTCAAATAGGTACTAGTTATATGCGAACCAATTAAGGAAATCATGCTGAATTTCTGGTGATAGAAATATATTCTAGAAAGAGAGGTTGATTATTACATGATTGGCGAAAAAGTATTATCTGAGGCAAGGATTAAGCCGTTGAGGATTGCCCTGAGAGATCTGTGTTAAGTCGATTGGTGGTCAAGTCATTTCGGGGCCAGGTGCCATTATAAAAGAATGAGTACTCTGAATAAATATATATTGACTCGGAAGAATGAAGACATTTATTTAGAGTAAGGTTAGGATGATCTAGTTTGCATATGTTAGAAGCAAGAAGAAAAAATCTAATCAATTTGTATTTTACCTAAGGAGGCTTATGCAGATTAAATAGCAATGAGGTCATATTGGGATGTGAACAGCCTGTCAAGGGGCTAGACTTTAAATAGTCAACTTTTATGCCATAACAAAATATTGAGCTCAAATCAACTGTAAATAAGAGATTGAGATAAAAAGTTAGTAGTCAAATTACACCGGAATAAGATGGTTAATACCTCTTCCTCAATCGACATTTGTCTTTTCTGAAACATATTCTCTGACAATGTCCTCGATAGAGTCGCCCTCGGCTCCATGCCGACTCTGAGCTTTCGTATATCAAGTGTAGTGTAGTGTCGTTTGGCTAGTTTATGTTGTATGAAAAGTTAGTACGGCGTGTGTGCATAGGCCAGGAAATAAGCCGTATTATCTGCTAGTAATTATAGCAGTGCGTAATACGCCTTTTATAATCATTGTTAGGAGAGGCTCATTTCGAATAAAAGTAAATGAAGAAGAGATTCGTTGGTCGATCTCACCAGATGAGAACGGATGAAACTCGTTGAACTGCAGCCGTTTGGCTTTTATATAATATTCATGTTGACGCAGTCCACGAGTCTTCCTCGCTCGTTTCGGGTCAAAATGTGCTGAGCTTTCATCCATCATATGATGGACATCATCAGAGCTGAGTTTCATTCTTGTAAGAGTTTCACGTTACCACTTAAGCAAGAATACTATCCGGCTTTATTTTACTTCTTATATAGACTTAATCGAGTCAAAAGATTAAAAATTACAAACATAGATAGATCGATATAGAGTGGTTTTAGTTAATTTTAATTCATACTGGTTTTGTTATTTTTGCTCGATTGTATGATAACGCATATTTGTATATGTTGGCGTCTATATGAAATACGGTTCCTAAGTCAGACTTGTCAAAGGTTAAATCTCCAGTTCTGATCCTTAAGACCTAATAACCCAAGAGAAAATCTTTGACTAAGACTGCGTAGGTCCATAGAAAAGTGTGGTTTAGATAATGAAATATGAGTTTTTTAAGCATAATAATTAAGTTACGAAACCATTTTTCTTAATCTTTTCGTCAAGGGTCATTAACGTTTAACCTTCCAAGGAAAGGCAAGACTGGGGTTGCGTAATCTGACATCTCTGGTTTGTTTGAAGAGCTTAATCTTACATTTTGGCGAATGTGAGTGAAATTAGAACCTTAACTGAGCAGACAAATTGAGTCGATTTCTTTTTGAGGATGGCTCAACACCCTCTCTCTCTTTCAATCTATCACTCAAGCATAAGTAATTTCTACTCAACTTTATACCCCCGTTCCTCACATTCAATGTATTTCCTAAGCAATTCATTTCAATAGCTTCTCTTATCTTTATTTTATACACAGACGTACCGTAATCAGAAAACCTACTAGTTTGAGACCAATTAATTTCATATCCAGTATCTATCCTGTGTTCGGCCACTTCTGACCGTTGTAATCAGCTAACTTTGCAAGCATTTTTGTTTTATACCAATCTTTGTCTAATAGTTTGGCATGTCTCACCAACATAACATCGACCACATGAGCAAACAATATTGTAGCAGCCTGATCTCG